GCACCGGTGGACCCACAGACTGATTCCGGACATATCCTCTCTGGACTATAGATCATAGCTCTCGCTTTTCAAGTGTAAGGAAAAAGCTGAAAATCACACTTGGAGATCTCACGTTAGAAAATTTAACTGCACTTATGTGTGAGTCCTCTGGTAAATGGAAAGCTGTCAGCGAAGCGGCAGCTCCAGTTATAACAAGATTGAGATATTTACAAAAGTCAGTTAGTCCATACAATAGAGGAGAATTTAATGTCTTCTTCTCTGCCATGAAGTCGTACTTTGCCCAGTGGTCCTCGGGGGGAGAGACATAATGTTTCGGAAACATCGACTACTATCCTACTACTATAGAAAAACGCCTCAGAAGCAGTTCCACTCATAAGATCATATAGAAAAATTCCTTGATTCTTAGATGGTATCACAAGATGGACAATTTTGCTGTAATGGTATTCGCTAGAAAGATCTGAAAAAGTTGTGAGCAGCGATGAGCTTCGACTAATTCATTTTGTAACCATTTCATTACAATGAAATTACGTTTTCATTAAACAAAGAGCGTTAAGCACCTACTACATTCCAAAAGTTTTGACTCATGTAATTTTTTTTTTTTCGAGAGGTAAAATTGGAAAAGTCGCTAGTCAGACTGAAAGTTTCGTCGAATGAGAACGTTGGCGTCGTGACGAAGGCATATTTTAGACAGAGTAAAGAAGTTGGATCATGGCTGGGCCAAGTATTTCGACCTAAAAGCGACTATATTGCGAAGTAAGTCTCCAGTTTTCAAAACTTCCGTTATTATTTTGTAGACTGTCGCTATGTTTTGCAGTCTTTTTGGAGAGATTATGTATACCCCTTGAGTAGAAGTTTGTCTGGAACAATGGACACAGTCTGGACTGCATATTTCGTTGTAGTTTTTGATTGCAAATTTAATAAAAACCTCATAGCTCCTCACCTAAAATCGATCTAATGATCGGACTAGCAACTTTTCATTTAATTGAAACTAACAACAGCACTTAAACTGCAAAATTATAACGGACTATTTAGTTGCAAAAGGCAGCCACATTACTACTCACTCAAATTAAAATAAAGAAAAGTTCGCAAAAGCTAATGGACCTGGCATTATGCAACATTTGCATACTTAAACACACGCACACATCCACCGACACACGACACATTTCTAAGTACACATTAACACACACACACACACATGCAAATAAAGTCATGCAAAACGGCGTAAAAAAGTCCATAGTTGCTGCACAATAGGTGTCACAGCTGCATGTTGCACATACAAAACACTACCGTACACTTGCAACGTCGAGAGTTAGTTTTCATGTTGCAACTTTGCAGTGTCAATGCGAGTCAATGTTAATGGCGTAAGTGTTCGAAATGTTTGCAATGTGAGTACAGTTTGCTGTTGTTGTCACGCTGCCAGTTCGTTGTTGCAACTTTGTCAACTCTGTTTGCAAAGTGTCACAAATCGATGTCATTAGATTGTAACTGTAATTAAATTTCAAAGCCATTCTATGGCAGAAATGAAAGGAGATTGCGAGAGAAAGACTTGTAGTGCGAATATGCAAACGCCGAGAGGAGGCGAGCTGAAGTGCAACATTTTTTTTATGGCAGCGAGTGGAGCGGAGACTATGCACAAAGTGTCGTAGAAGCGAAAATGTTAACACTGCGTGTTTAGAAATTAGAATACCCTTTACAAGTAAAAAAGTTTCCGGGGAGGCACTTGGTTATCAACACTTAGTTTGCATGGCAGCTATATGCTATATTAGTCCGATATTGGTTGTTCCAACAAATTGGCATCATCTTCGAGAGGAAGGATGTATGCAAAATTTCAGATCGACAGACGGACTGATGGATGGATAAATAAGCACAGATATCAACAGAGCTAACCTTTTAATGACAGCCTCTTGAGAGTTGGATAAGTCTCAAAAAAGGCGGATCTAGCAAATATCTATGGAAACAAATCGGATTCCAATACAATTTTTAAGATCAGGGGAGTATCGCTGGATTCAAGTATCTGCATATATACATATAAATATATATGTATATATATATATCTTCTATATATCTTTGAAGTTACCGACTAATGCTATATATTCAAGCTGACATGCAGGGGACTCCAGAGTCAACATCTACATAGACAGTCAAGCAGCAATCAAGGCAGTAAGCTCGTATCGCATATCGGCCAGAAGTGTGTTGGGAAGCAGGGCAGTAGTGGAAAGTGTTGCCAGAAGTAAGCAACTCCACTTCTACTTGGTGTCAGGCCACAAAGGCATCGAGGGCAATGAAACGTGAACAATATTGGGAAATCAATGCATTGTCTATTTCCGAGGGTTTTGACAAAAGCGTGGTACAGAAAATCAAAACCCGATGGAGAGATCTACCTGGAGGCCAAAATGCAAAAAACGGTAAATCGTAAGTACACAAAAATCATATTGGTACTCGATAAAGGAGGCTGTAAGAACATGATGGAAATAATAAATGCTCAATGTCTGGTGGCGACACACGCACGCAGGACGGGGATGACAAATCAAGAAGACTGCAGGAAGTGTGACATAACTCCAAGGACATCATTCACTGGCATTAAGTAGGTGAAAATGTTAATTGGTCCACTGTAAATGACTTAAGTGGTTGCCTGAAGTCAGTTACGTTTGGCGTCTTGTCGGTAAGGTATACAATGTTGCCGACGTAATGAACGAATGCTCTCTTAATATTCCCCGGAGGTGGTTCTGCTTCAAGCAGTTGACCAGTTTGGATGGTTTCTGCGAAAATATCCTAATAGAAATGATATGTTTAGGCATTTTTTGTGTGTTTTAACGGAAAGCTTATCTCTTTGATGGTGGAAATTAAGAGGCACCTTGTTATTATACGGATTTTTGTGTTATGAAAAGTCTGAAATCGCTTCATTTGCCTCGTACTATATCCATTCAACCATACCAGTGCTGCTGATGGCTATGCACTTTGGTAACGATCGCGGTCGAATGCGGGGTGAAAGAAGACATGCCGTCGAGTGCAACATTTTAAATTTTAGGGCTGCTATCAATTTTAACTACACTTGCTGCAATTTAAGAACGTATAGACTGGGCTCTCGTTCAGTTCCTGAACATGGTCACCGTGGATGTAGTAAGGAGCTGATAAGACGCTTTGCAGGCAATCATTGAAAAAATCGTAGATACCGTATAATTATCAGAGTTCGAGGTTATCAAAGAGACTTCAATACCCAGGAGTACCCGCTGTTTATTTATTCTTAGCTTTGAATTATAATTCTACTTAACTTTAGAAACTCATACCAAACTCCCACCAAGAATGTCCAGTTGTAAAAGTACCGCAACAGTTCATGCGACAATTATGAAAATTCGCGAAGAGAGTAGAAATTGGCCACGAATGATTGCCCAGTTTCTATACCAAGAGCACCTAGATGGAAGCGTGAGAGATTATTAGGTATAAAGTTATATACTACATTCGATAGATCGAGGAGCTGTACGAGATATACGACGGCATTGACATAGTTCAGCGAATTAAAAGACAGCGGCTACGCTGGCTAGGTCATGTTGTCTGAGTGGACGAAACCACTCCAGCTCTGAAAGTATTCCACGCAGGACCCGCCGGGTGAGGCAGAGGAGAGAAAGACCTCCACTCAGTTGGAAGGGCCAGGTAGAGAAGGACCTGCCTTTGCTTGGAATCTCCCATTGGCGCCGCCTTGTGAAAAGAAGAAACTTCTAGTATCTATATAAACGGTCAGCGTGACGAGCTGAGCTGATTCACTCACAGCCTTCTGTATTTCCGTCTGCATATACTCGAAGTAGTCTCTCAAGTTTTGAGATATCGGTCTAACATTTCACTTGGTAGCTGCTTATTTGCCGGAAATGTTGAGTATTCGCGACTTGCTTTCCATTCTCTGTTAGACGAAGTTAGCTTAAAAGGTCGATCGTAAGAAGGATCTCATTTGGACAGCTTGGAACGCCGCTCCGTTCTGATACATATAAGATTCTATATACTGAACCACAAGGCTTTTACAGAATGAACAAATGCTTTGAGCCTGCCATAAATTTGTTGAGACCTCAAATATCAGTTGTCTTCTGGTTCGCCGAAGATAAGAGTATCAAGATGTTGCAGTCTCAGTCATTCAAAGGCTGGGCAATGGAGGAGAAAGTGCTCAGATGATTCCACCTCATACACACTCCTTGACCAGCTTTGAGCGCACAGTTAGCGAGCATCGTCGTTCTGCTGTCGGAGTGAATGTTCACCTTGAAGAAAGAGGCCGCAATTTGGAGCGAAACGTCTACTGAGCAGCCATTGATGCCTAAAAAACACAACAGTGATGCGGTAGGCTAAAGCTAAGATTGACGGAGAGTTCCCTCCTTGTTTCAGTCCATCCGTGAAACGTCTCACAGCGCATCTTCATTGGCGTCTCCCCCCATATACAACCATACAACTTTTTACATTACATACATTTGAGGTGATGCAATTTTAGTGTAGAGAAGATAATCTATGGTTATATTGACTTCAACAATAACACAAAATCGGTTCGAAAGTACTACGAATAACACAAAATAATAAAAATAAATATAGCAGACTGGTAAGTTTCGAAGTTCTGCCGGGATGCCAGAATTCAGCTTGCTTTTAAGTGAATAGTTACGATTCGAAAAATTAAAGCAGATCGTAAGATCGTACAAGAGTCTGGGAAGAATGCTATAAAACCAATGTATTTAAAATAAGATTTCTATAAAACATATATGTATATACAAATATTTTCAGAAATATATTCCCCGATGGATTATTTTCCATACTGGCTAATAAAGCACATAAAAACCATTTTTCAAACTTCAATTTTTTAACGCATTCCTGAGAGTAGTTAAATTATATTCCTTATTTCTGCCAAATGCTGTCTGCAATTTTACTACTACGTTCATTTTCCAGTTGAGAGTATATTCTCGAAAGTTTAATATTCAACTAATTTCATATCGCCTTTCATCACTGCTACACCGAACAGCGATACTCACCTCTATCCTGCGCCGTGAGCAAGGACGACGACAGTGTCTGCTTCAACTTTCCGAAAGTTCCGCCAGCGTCGGGTTGATTTTGTGTGGATGGCGACTCATCTGTGGCGACCATCTGCGAGAAACGAGAAGAGCAAGGAGAAAACGGAAATGAGTAAGTGCATGAAACGGCAAATAAAAGTAAAAATCGCAATTTTTTCGCTTTTCAAATTGCAAGTAATTGAAAAATGTGATGAAAAACGCAGCAAACTGCGACTGCGACTGTCGATGGTGATGGTGCTGGTGCTGGTGACGAGATGATGTTGGTGTACTTCTGTATTTATGGATGTCTATATACTTTTATATATTATTTGCAATGTATATTTGTTCTTTTTGCACACATTCGCACATCACGCATATTTGTTGCGCCGCCACAGGTGCATCATTTTAATTAAATTCCTGCAAAATATCCACCGCACCACTCACAGCTCAGGTGGCCATAAAAATGCTATAAACTCGAAGTGGAATTTTTGCTGCCAATCAAAGTGCTAGCGCAAATATCAAGCGGGAAAATGCTTTATGAGTGCTGCCACCACACACATACACACACACACACACTCATCGAGCGCCGAAGTGGCAGACTGGAAGGTAACCCATTGTTGCTTCACATACTGTATATATATGTATACTTACACTGTATTCTATTAACTGATTTTTATTTTTGTTCCTTGTTGTCTTTAATGCATTGTTCGCTATTTTGTTGCTTTTGCTTTAGTGGCCATTTGCTTGATTTTTATTTTCCTTGCCTTCGCCAAGCAATCGCAAATACACCTGCGCTAAATTAACTCAGCACACACCCACACACACACACACACACACATAACACCTTCGCGTATGTGCCCAGCAAACCTGCCATAAACACGCCAGCACATAGAGCCAGCACATAGCCAGGCAAAACTCGAACACCATAAATAGCACTAACACACCTTTAACTTCACACAAATACACTTACGCCCATCCTCAGATACATTCGCAAAACACATTTGCCTGGTACGCAACTCTTTCCTTTACCAATACACCCATTAAAGTACAAATACTTTGTGGCTAGATAATAGGATATTTTATGGCTGCTAAAGGACAGCTTTTATGATGCAATAATTTGGGTTGAGAAAAACACACAAAATTAAATAAATAAAAAAAGGGAAAAAATGTGCGGAAATGAACGGAAATGTTGCGCACATTTGTGTGGCAAGTATAGGTTAGCGATGGAAGCATATATGTTCGAATGTGTGTATGTGCGCTAATAGAAAAAAAAACTATAAATTTCGTTGTGTCTACAAAAATCTGGTACGCACTTAGATTGTCTATAAATAGCACAAGGAAAGCAAGAAACGGATTTTATTTTTTCAAGTTTGGTGACGCATGGGCGCATGGGCACATCAACTCATTTTTGACCTCTTCCACGCGCTAGATTGATTAGATGTGGACAATACAACCGTCGACATTGTAGTAAACTTGTGTTCATATATTAAAATGTCAAGGAATGTGATTCAATATCTAATGGAAAAAATTTTCCTCTCCACACAGCGCTAGTGATATACAAAGGAAGATGTTGTCGGTTTTTAGAGATGAGAAATATCACTTATCTCACCTATCATCAAGTATATAAAAGGATCGATTATTCCTTCAAATCGCGATAGCCCATAACTTTGAAAATAATATACCTGAGTGTTAAATTAATACCACATATAGTTTTTGAGTTACAGCCCCTTGTAACCACTCATTTTAATCAGTTCAATCAGTTCATTAGGCTTCAGTGTTTGGTCCGGATTTTTCCAGTCCCCGAAATACTTTTCATAAGCTCTTTTTGGGATGGCTTTCATTTCCTTCACCGAATTTTGTGTAATTTCTCCGTTCGACCGAAAACGCAATTTCATTTGGGGAACAAGAAAAAATCAGACGGATTTAAATATGGTGAATGCAGTGGTTGATCGATGGTTTTCATTGCGTGTTTGGCTTTAAATTCGGTCACAATCGTAGCTCGATGAGAGTTTCGAAAAAATTACCATCACTTTGATTTTTCAGCAGCTTTGGCATGTTTTTTCTGGTTGCGGCTTATTTTTCCCCTCCATTCTGATCATTATTGACTTCTTTCAAAGTCAAACTCATCGGATCGGAATTCGGACGATCTAGCATGTCCAGAAAGACCTATTTACGGTACAATTTTTGAAAAAAGTTTCGCTGTATTGAAAAGACTTGAATAAGTAAGCGTTTTATACCCAAAATATCCTGATGATCTTCAAGCACCGTTTCCTGCACTTTTTGAATATTTTCATCCGTTGAGAAGGTCGAAGTACGTTCAGAACGAGACATGTCTTCAATGATTCCTCTTGAGGACCAAAAAGCCTTGAGGGCTTTTTACCACTGAATGACTGTAAGTCTTGTCCAACATTTTCAATGATTCCGCAAACGAAATTTGATTAGAAATATAAAATGTGAGACAAATTCTTTGTTCGATTCATTGTAAAAATTGTGGTGTACCAACTTAAGCAGCTGCTGTAAACAAGCTGGTTGATTTAGTACTTAAGGTCCTACCAACTTAGCAATGAACTATTTTTTATAATCCTCTGGATAATAATAATTTTTTAGAAGGCACATGCCTTTCTTCACTTTTAGATCTTGTTTGAACCAGTTTCCTGGCACTACATTTTTTCAAATTTTTGACAATTTATCCGGATTATTAGGGAGATATTTTGACATAACACTCAATTTGTTCCAATGTTTTGACTATCAACGCAAACCCAGCTTCAATTTCTAGAGCAGTTTTAACATGATATACCTGTTCCCAAAAAATAAGGTGACATTGCATTTATCCCGAAAATTCTTTATTCTTCAATTTCATCCCCTTCAAATTAATCCCCTCCCGATGCAATGCACTTATGCCAACGGATTTTCCAATCTTCGAAACACTGGTTGTAGTCACATGGATGGCCTTCAGTTCCGTCTTCGCTGCGGCTGAGTCTCCTCTATCGTATAAAAACGGTGTCCCCGGAGCGGTCTTTTGAGTTTGGTGAACAGCCAGAAGTCGCACGGCACCAGATCAGGTGAATATGGTGGTTGCGAAATGATATGGGTTGAGTTTTTGGCGAAATTATCACGAATTACGAGGGCAGTATGGGATGGTGCATTATGGTGGTGTCAAAACCAAGAATTGTCTTTCCACAATTTCGGCCTTTTTAGGCGGATACGTTACGCAAACGACGCATAACGTTCAAGTAGTATTCCTTGTTGACTGTTTGATCGGTTGGAAGGAATTCATAATGCACAACACCACGATAATCGCAGAAAAAAGTCAACGTGACCTTGATTTTTGAAGGACTTTGGCGCGATTTTTTGGGACTCGGCTGTCTTTTGGCACGCTATTCGCTCGATTGATCGGTTGTTTCAGGGTCGTAAGCATGGATCCGAGTCTCATCGCCAGTTATAATGCGTTTCATGACACTCTGGTAGTCGGAAAACTTCATTTCACACACTTCAACGCGAAGTCTTTTTTCCAAAAAAATCAATGTTTTCCTTCAAAATGGTATTGGCTGAGCCTTTCAATATGCCAACTTCATCAGCAAGGTCTCTAATTGTTATTCGACGGTTTTTCAACACCAAATCTTTGATTTATTGAACGTGAGCTTCGTCGATTGAGGTTGATGGTTGCCCTGGACGCTCTTCGTCTTCGACACTTTCACGTCCGGCTTGGAACTCACTATACTACTTGTTTTTTTTAGACATAGCCTCATCACTCAAGGCTTTCTGCACCATCCTCAACGTAGCATAAAATTGATTCCGTAAACAAAATTTAATGCAAATTCTTTGCTCAACGAATTTCGACATCGCAAAAGACGAAAACTCACTTTCATCTCAAACACTAATGATATTTTGACATGAAATTTGACATAAATGTGACTGACAGTACTACCAACCTAAAAAAAATAATTCTCCAAATCCTTCGACGCGCGCAGTTTAAATTCAAATGTCACCTTATTTTTTGGGCACAGTACGCTTTGAAAAATTATTATATTATTCCAAACTTGCTCATGAATTACATCACTGAGTTCATTTTGAGAAGAAAAATTTGGTGTTTCATCCGCTTATTCCCATTGGGTAGACTGTATATCTGGAAATTACACTTAATTTTGTTTCTGAATAGCCTATGAAAATTTCTTTTGGAACGGAAGGGAGATTTTTATTGGGTAGAACTGGACAGTTCATAGACAGTAATTCTATGGAAAATCTTAAAATTTTTCGCATATTTTCGGAAAGGAACCTTGGTATGGTAGTCATGTGACGATTTCACACGCGAAAAAGGTGACTCAAATAGTGCAACGAGATCACTATTAAATTGCTTTAATGGCGTTGCACCTCTTCACTTCTGTGCGGAAAGTATTAAAGCTGGGGCAAAAGTGTACGAGCAGACTCTTTAAGAAGACGTGGTAAAGCTATCACTGCACTCTTCGATGGACAGCTTTGGATTTACCAGCAAGATTATGCTCCAGTGCATAAGCCAAAAACCACCCAACAGTGGCTTAAAAGCCATAATCATTCCTGCTTTCATAGCTGCAGACAACTATATGTTTTATGGTCAGAGTTGCAGGCATGGCTTCTCGAACACACCACGGAAATTGGGAAAATCTGAAAAAATCTTCGGTTCGAGCAGTCAATAGAAACTGTTCGTACAAAACAAATGTCGTGAAGGTCCTTTTAAAACAGTTGTTGTTCCGGAAACTATTGATGATGTGTGCAAAGTGATATTGATAGAGATAACTATAGGCATTAGTGCGACTAACGCAAATTCAATATTGCATGCATATTTGACCGTTAAAAATTAGCTCATGTTGGATACCACACATTTTGTCAATCGCTTAAACCACCAAAAAAAAAAAAAAGAAAAAAAAAAGGCTCTTCTCGAAACAAGTCTATGATATCGTGGCAGGTGACGAATTCTGGATTAATGCGTCAGAGCCTGAAAAAAAAACAGCACTGAAGTGAATGGCTGTTTCAAGATGAACCGAAGCTAAGGAGAGTTGTTCATGCACGAAGCACTTGCTAACTTATATAAGCGTATTTTTTGAAAAAAAAAAAAAA